CAGATTGTCAGGAACTAAAGAACAAATAGGTAAGAAGAATGAAAAGGAGGAGTTGATGTCATTTGTTTCTACTCTTGTCAAACCTTTGGCTACTGTCCCAGTTCCTAGGCAGAGAAGCCTTTAGACTCCAGATTACCCATCAGTCAACTGTGAAAAATTCCTCAGGTAGAGCTGGACCTTCCTGATCCATCTTTTCATAGCAGTTGGTGAACAGCTCTAGAATCATAAGGACAAACATAAAGCCTACAATTGATTAAGCACCTGCCACTGGTGTTCCTTCTAGGTAGACCCTCTGTCTTATCTTTTATGGATCGCTACCCTGCCAGATAACAACAGGCAGTCTTGCTCCCACTTTGCAGGTAAGGAAGGTGAGTTCTGGCTAAGTCAAGACAATTGTATAAGCCCACCAGCTAGAAAATTTTAACACTGAGATTTGAAAAGATGGTCTGACCTATTCTGAAGCCCCGTTCTAGCTGTTCACCACCCTGCCTCCTTTCACACGGTATCTGTACTATTTACTTAAATGTCTGGCCCCTGTTTAGTCTAGGAATTCCTAGGAATCAGAGACTCTATCTTATACAGGTAAGACAACTGACAATTAAGTTCATGAATTCATCCTAGAAAAACGTGCTACTTATCTCATTGCTGAATATCAGTATGATCACCTTTGAAGTATCCCCTTGGCTACCTGGTGACTATGCTGAAATTCAGCCATGAGTTATGTAGCCCTTTTTAGGGATGAGTCCACAAACTTAATTGTCAGAGCTTGTATAATGACAGCTCTAATGGTCATTCCAGAAAGAGTTCCACAATTGCTCTGAAGGGTGGACTAGGTGCTGGTGTCAACGAATAGGTTCCTAGGGGGAGTACATGACAGCGACATAATGACATCCAGCAATGAGATCTGTAGCACTTTTTCTAGGATGAGTCACCAACTTAAGTGTCTGATCTTGTGTGTATCTCTAGCAATTAATACTAGGTTTAGTATGTAGTGAGCACTATTGGATAATTGCTCATAAAATAATTAAATGAGTGAACACATCAGATGAATAAACTCTCCTAGAAAATTCAGTCGTGAGAAGACTTTATTTATCCACTTCTAAGTTCATGCATTAAAATAGCCTCAATATGGATCGTATCAATGGTCTTCTATCCTGGAGTCTTTCTAAATTCACTCAGTAGTTTTTACGCCTTTTAGATTCTTTGGGATTTTCTGCATATGTAATCATGTCATCTCCAGATAAAGGTGGTTTCCTTCTCCCCTTCCCATACCAATAGTTCATTCTTTTCCATTGTTGTAGAGTATACACGTTAATATTCAGAATACAATTTCTTTAAATATTTGGGAATTTCTTATGACTTTTATGTTAAGTATAATAATGTCTAAAAAGACCTAAAATTAAAAATTTTCTAACAAAATGGAATTACATATTCTTTTCTGAAACACTCTGACTAGCACAGGGAGAGAGAAAATGTGTGTTCTCCCATGAACGTGACCCACTAGGCTGCTATCTCTGCCTGCATGATCAAAGCTGGTCTCCCATGTTCACCTTTCAGCCTTCAAGAAGTGGGGACAAGAGGAAGTTCAAGGTCAAACAACTTCCTATTAGGAAAGTGAGTGGAAGACATCTGTATTTCTTCTCTTCTTGTTTTACCAGAGAAAACACAGTTAGAAGGTCACACCTGGGGAAGAGAGAAATGTCATCTCTAGCAGGTCAGTTAGAAAAAGTTAGAGAAAATTGGGACCAATTATCAGATTGCTAAGATCTCCAAAAGCAAATACAGTCATAGTTTCACTGATTTTTGATCAAACATCCAGAAAAAAAAAAAAAGCCACTATCTTTTTCCAGTATGTGAAAATGCCTGAATGGAAGGGACACAAGTGTCTCCAAGTCCCATCTCTATTCCTTCTGAGAGTCGGAGAGTTATTTCATCTCTCGATTCATCTCTCGAGTACTCAAACTGAGCACCGTGAGCAAAATTAGGGCTGGAAAGAAGAAGCTTGCATCTGTGATTTCCCCTGGTGTGCTTCAGTTTTTCCTAGGCTGCTGCTGGAAGGAAATGAAACACATCAAAGACGTGGAAAAGTGGAGGGAAGCCACGAGGTATAGATGCTCTGGCTACAGGGCAAAAAGACGGCTAAGTGCAGGGATAGAGACAGAGCACACCAAGGAGAAGGGTGCAGACAGCCTAGGATAACACGATGCAGACAGAACACCCCTAAACACGCTTCAATATTCTCTGAAGGTATCACTGTCTTGCTGACAAGTACACCAACCAATGTCCACGATGGTGAATCAGGTGGAAATCAGCCACAGAAGAGAAGTCTAGGGTTCAATATTGTAGCTGTGCCCTGCATCTCTCTTTACTCTCTTTTCCCATCTCCTGTACAGTAAAAACCAAGTCTGGGATAATTCTTACTCCAAGTAAATAAGATTTTAATGAACCATAAGAAAGTGCCTTTAATGAAAGATAAAATCTTACAGTGGGAACACAGGCCTAATGGGACTATTGCTGTGTGATTCTCAAGGAAAGTTATGTGGCCCAATATTCAAGGAATGTTCAGTACAGTTTATAAAAATATGTTTAATAGATAAAATTAAGATGTTTCCATAATTTAAGGGCAAACTGTCCAGACAGCCTCATTACCCAATAAAATGATGTAAATTAGGTCTTTATGAGTTAAGTTTAACGCTGCTCATTTAAACATTTCTGAGTCTTTTTTATATTTTATTACACAGAGAAAACATATTTGATGACAATAAGAAATATGGTAATGGATATGTTTAAAGTCATAGCTTCCATTAGCCATAATAGTGTGTATGTGAGTGTGTGTGTGAGAGAGTGTTCTGTCAGTTTTCTAGCCTTGAATCTGGACTCACGACCAAGTGCATATTGCTGAATAAATTTAAGAATGTTATTTGCCATCATTTACAATTAATTTCATATGAAGGAGGACAATTATAATACAGATAGCTTAAAAGACAATCAGAAAGCAACTTATATTTTATTTAAAAATACGTGTCTCTGTATATATTTGTATCTGATTTGGGTATTCCCAATACTCCAACAAACGCTAACGTAAAACTGTACAGGCCTGTCTTGAAAAATGCTTTATGTAAAACTTCCAGCTTCCCTTTCTTGACCTCAGAATTAAAGAGAGTTCTCCTCAGCTCCATCCATCAGGATCTTTTCTGTCTCTAGTATTCATTGATTAGTGATTTTAAGTAGCCAAAAGCAACTCAATTCCAAAGGGAGAATTTGCTATAACGATCAAGAGCAAAAGTTGGCCCCTGAAACACAAAGAGTAACCGAAGCTTAGAAAGTCATGAGAAACCTCTCTGTCTGCACAGCGGCCTCGCTCCCATGCATCCTTTTATTCCAAAGGACTCTTTGTACTGCTCTAGATCATGTACATGTTATGGGTCTACATAGGCAGAGAGACTTGTAAGCTCCGAATCATGATTCCAAATCTCCAGGAGAGGGAAGCACATCGGTCCAGGTTAGTTCCGGTTTCTACTCCTAATGCTATCAGCTGTTGCTGATGTGGCAAGATCGCTTAGATAACCAGAGCTAAAGGAAGAGTACCTCCGTTAGATGGGTACCAAGGGAAGGGGATTATTCACAAGTGAGCAGATAGCTTCTAAATTGCCTTTCTATCTTTAGCCCAGAAATAATCATTATGGAAACAAAACAGAGGCTTATGTCATAATGTCTGCCCTTAAGAAGGTCACAATCCCATAAACCTGTATATACATCTAGTAGATGAGAATTCAGCACAAGGATCACATACTGAAGTGATGGTTTATATTAAAAAGGACCTTTGGATGGTGGAGACACGGTGGAACTTAAAATGCAGAGAGCTGGGTTCAGACCTTGGTTCCGGCTCCTTGTCTTTGTGGTCCCTTGCATGGCTCACAGACTCTTTACCTGTGGGTCTCCTTATGGGGATGATTATATTTAACTTAAAGGCATTTAGTGATAATTAAACGCAGCACTTACAAAATTCTTAGTACACGGCAGAACCCAGGCTACAACAGTAATTTGTTTCCCCAAGCATACATTAAACACGTAACTCTGGTGAAGTGCTGGACTAGATGTTGGTGGTAGAATTAAGATATACTTACTGTTGGTGGTCCTTAGGGAAATGGCAGTCTGTTGGGGACAGAGACAGATGAACCGATACTTTCAATAAAATGTATTTGTCGACTAGAATTCTAGATGGGATTTATATTAACCCAGGAGAGTTTCAGAGAGGTGCCAGGATGTGAGCGAGGCCTTGTGTTAGTGAGTAAGATTTAAACTGGAATATTTCTAATCAACACTTGATCTGAGCTAACTTAAGTCTGCAAGGTTGAGGGTTCATATTTGCTTTATGGCAAGAAAAATAAATTAGTAATTTAAAAGAATTTTCCCAAACACTGCTGGTCTTAAGTAGAGGGGTGAAGAGAAATACCCTATAGTCTTTAAGCAGGTTTTTGGCAGAGTGAAGGAAGCCAGAAACTCTGCAGTGTCCGTAATTCACCTGTAGGTAACTGAGGGGATGTTCTCTGTGTTTAGTGAAACTTCTCAAGAAAAGAAATGTACATGTGATTCAATGCAATAAATTTAGGAAATTTATGCCATAAGGTCACTGTACACAATTTCAAAGCCACCTTTGCTAGATTTAACTGGAAAAAAAGAAAAAAACCAGCACTTGACTATTTTGAAGTTGCTGCTTCGATGTGCTATTTGAAGCCTGCCAGAGTGATGTACCATCTCAGAACAATTTGTTCACTTCACTTAGAAATTAGAAATGTTTGGGGCAATAAATCTAAATTTATTTTGTAGTAGTCATTTTTCTTAATGGAAGTGTTTTCCAGATGTTGCCTAAGTCTAGTCGTCTGGGCCCTCTTCCAATCCATGAGGAAAGCCTGATTTCATAGGTTGTCACTGTTGATTTTGTCTAACCTTTGGACTAATTGGTTCATCCCAATATATTTGCACTGATATATAAGACTTCCAGCACATTGGAGAAATCCATCTATTCATTTACGGGTAAGTGTCAAAGTTAACTTGCTTCCTGGGATTGAATGTGTTTTCGTTAAAGGTATTTGAAAAAGATTTATAGGATAGTAGTTGGAATTTTTGTTTAAAAGGTCCTGTTTATGCAATACACCTGTTGGAACCTTTTACATTTATACTGAGAGTTAAGGGAAGTTGGAACAATAATTCCACTGTGCTTGTTAAGTTTAATTTTATTGAAGCTAGTGATTTCTTCTTCCCCCAAGAAAGAATTTAAGCTTTGCACTGTAAGTATATGCTGTACTTTGAAAAGAGCTTTAAGATAAATCTGTTCTTATGTTGGAGATTTCTAAAGCATTAACCTGGTCAATACCATAACTGAGGGGAATGATGATTTGTTCTGTGTAAGAATGAAGGTAATAGCCAGTTGTTTCTGTAGAATTACTTTAAAAAGTGTAGTCTCAAGAATAGGCTGTTTTTATTATTAAATTACATTTTAAGTTTTGATCCATTGTGGGTAACACAGGCATATTAGTGTGAGATACAAGAGCAGTTTCTGACATCTGTCTTGTTTTCAGCAGAGGAGCAGTTCCCGAGGACAATCATGGAGTGGAAAATGCTTCCCATTTACTTACTGCTGCTGCTTTCTATCTTCTTGGTTCAGCAAGTTTCATCTCAAGGTAACTTAACCATCAAAAATACTTTTCTTTAAGAAGTATTGCTAAAAAAAAAAAAAAAAAAAAGAACTATTGCTAGTCATTGTCTTGATTTCTTAACAAAAGAAAGACATTTCTAAAAATTTATATTTGAGTTTCATATGTAGCATAACCTTAATAAAATGTGAACAATATATAGCCTATTTATAAATGTTCTGGAGTTCTCACCTTTTTCTTCCATATTATGAAAACTTTCAAGAATTTTTGAGCTTTTATACAGAATGATTTTGGTACTTATCTTTCCTATGGGTCTCTCAAAAGTTTAAAAAATATCCAGACACAGAATAAAACTATGCTGGGGCTATCTAACATCATCAAAATAACTCAAAGATCAATACTTCTCATATAATTTTTCCTGTATATTGGGAAATAAATCTACTTTGTCTTTTATATCAAATAAATTATAATAATTCTTTTGGCATCATGTAGAAATAGATACCATAGTACAACGAACATTTGCGATGTTTCAAATAACATTTTTGTTAATCTTGAAAGTATTTTCTTTTTATTAGAAAGACTATTCACCCAGATATACATTTATACAAATGTTACTGTCATTTTGTGTTATAATATTTAGCTATTTATAGACCGCCCAAGACAGAGTCATCCCTGATGAACAGTTCTTGTTATTCATTTTTAGAGAGTGTTAAGGTACCTTCAATGTAACCACATTAGCAAAAGTTGTTTGCTTGTGATCTCGGTTGACCAGTGTAACCACCCAAATCCCTTTCTTTTCTTCACCTTTTTATTTCCTTTGATGACCAAAATCTGAGAGAAGAAAATCAAGATTCATGACTGTTACAGTGAAAATACATTTTGAAAGTAGACATTTCCAATAAAGTAACTAAAATTCTCATGAAACCTGAACATGAGATGTAACTGCCTGCACAGGCACAGTTGCAGAACTGCTTAGATAAGAAAAGATGGAAAAACACACGAACACAAATGTGAATATTTAATTAGGAATGATGTCTACTCTGATAGCTTCAGATCCTTCAGCTCTCCCATAATATTATTCACAAGCCTTACAAACTGGGTGCATACCATAAACCACCGTTTCCTCTGTCCTACAACCAGTTTTTCACTAAACGATTTTACTTTCTGTTAATTACATAAAATTAGTGATTAAAATTAATAGCAACCAAAGTAGGACAGACATCTAATCCATTAAATAAGCCTTCCCTATACAGACAATGGATTTCTAATTTCAGAGAGCTGCCAGCTGTGAAAGAACATGTTTTGATGCCGTCTTGTCTGCTGCTCCTGCTTTCTCCACCTCTTCTCATTCTCTTTTTTCTTTGTATATAATATATGTATTTCCATACATACACTATATATGCATTTTTGTATGTATTTGGCATACGTGTACGCAAAAATTCTGAACGTTGCCCTACTGTTTACTGTTTGATTTGCATATTCAGACTTTAACTTTTCTGGACTCTACTCTTTTGAGAATTTTTCAAGTGTGTTTTAACATTCCTCTGTGGATTTAGAACCCTGCACCTGCTAATTTCCATGCTGGAGATGGATTCCATTGTTATGCTCCTGTGGTTATCTCTCAGGGAGGTTTTTAAGGTGCTGTTTTTCAATATTTTTTTTTTAATTCGAAGATGATTGTGCTTTGGTTAATGTTTTTCTTTCTGCCCAGAAAAACTCCATTCACGACGGTTATCTTCATGCCCAGATAATGTTTCAAGTTTTCTCTATTTTATACTAACTTCAGTCATGGTTCTAAGCATCTGGCGTCCTCAACCTTTAAAGCATCCTGTTATCTCCAACAGAGGAGGAGAAAGCCCAGTAAAGTCTGTGCTGGCAGAACCAGCTTGCCTTAAACTCATCATCTGGAATGAGAGGCAATACAATTGGGTGGGGAAAGCTTGGGCTTTAGAATTACATGCATCAGAGTTCAAATTCTGGATGGACTGTTTACTTAGGAAGACTATATAATTTGTTATTCAAATCAGGGCATTCCGAAGAGTAAAATAAATCAGTACAAATAATTCATAGGTATTAAATGACCTATAATACAAATATACTGGAAATATTGGCTAGTGGCAAAAATGTGTGCCAGTGAGCAAGTTATTAAAATTTCTGTGTTTCAGTTTCCTAATTTCTAAAAAGGGCCTACCAAGATTCTCCTGGAAACATGTTCATAAGCATTGGAGATAACATGTGACTTGGTACCTGGTACAGATGTTCCATAAATGACAACTAGTTGTGATCATAGCTACAGACCCTTCTCCTTTAGAAATATCACTCTCTTTATGCAAAGCCATTACTTTGCCTAATTTTCAAAAGTGTATTTATCTTCTCAGCCTAGTGAAGACTAAAATGACACGTGATGATCAAGAGATCAGCCAATCATCAGCTGCTCACCATCACTCCAACATTTTCCCAATTGCTAAAATTCTCTCTCCCCAAAGTGGCTCTGTCCCCCTCATGAGATCCCTCCCCCTCTCTGTGAAGTGGTTTGGCCATATTTACGCTAGTATTGTGTAATTTTAGATTTATCAAGCTGTGCAGGGAGATGTGGGGAAGGGTATTCTAGAGATGCCACCTGCAACTGTGATTATAACTGTCAACACTACATGGAGTGCTGCCCTGATTTCAAGAGAGTCTGCACTGCGGGTAAGTCCGGAGCGCGGGCGTCTCCTCGGTCACGCAACACCATTCTGCTCCGCCAGCTCCCCTCGCGCCCCCT